CCACAGGTCGTTCGTAAGAATCTAAAGGTCCGCCTTGGTGATATTGTTGGTGTTTATGCGGCTGGAGACGTCCCCTATGGCAAACGAATTCACGTCTTGCCGTTTGATGATACCATTGAGGGTATCACTGGTAACCTCTTCGACACGTAGGGTCAATATTTGGGCCTGTTTTGAATCTTGCACACTTGAACCTTAGATACCTCAAGCCCTATTTCCAAGAGGCTTATCGTCCCGTTCGACAAGGCGACTACTTCCTGGTACGTGGGGGGTTCCGACCAGTAGAATTCAAAGTTGTTGGCGTTGACCCCGGCGAGTACTGCATCGTGGCGCCCGACACTGTGATTCACTGTGAAGGGGAGCCCATCCATCGTGAAGACGAGGAGCGTTTGGACGATGTTGGCTATGATGATATTGGAGGCTGCAGAAAGCAAATGGCTCAAATACGGTATTTTCATCAGAAGTAACTGCGATCCTCTTGAGGCCAATTTTGTTCAGAGAGATGATCGAGTTGCCCCTGCGTCATCCCCAATTGTTTAAGACTCTCGGAGTGAAGCCTCCTCGAGGAGTGCTCCTATACGGTCCTCCAGGATGCGGCAAGACTCTTATCGCACGAGCCATCGCGAATGAAACGGTAGGCACATTGTGGGTATTCCTTGGAGTTGATACTTGGTCGTTGTGGTTAGGGAGCGTTTTTCTTTCTGATCAACGGGCCTGAGGTTATGAGTAAAATGGCGGGAGAGGCGGAGTCGAATTTGAGGAAGGCCTTTGAGGAGGTGTCACCAGTCACCACGTGTTGGCTACTGTTGACGATTCCCTTCAGGCTGAGAAGAACGCCCCTGCGATCATTTTCATTGATGAGATCGACTCGATCGCCCCGAAGCGCGACAAGACAAACGGAGAAGTTGAACGACGTGTGGTATCGCAGTTATTAACTTTGATGGATGGCCTCAAGTCGAGGGGACAGGTGGTCATTTTGGGCGCTACCAACAGGTGGGTTGGAAATCGTCGAGGAGGAGAAGCTATTGAGTTGGTCTTGCTTCTAGGCCTAATTCGGTCGACCCTGCTTTGAGGCGTTTTGGTCGTTTTGACCGCGAACTGGATATAGGAGTTCCTGATGATAACGGGCGTATGGAAATCTTGAGGATCCACACTAAGAACATGAAGTTGGGCGATAATGTCAGGTGGGCCTCTCGTACACTGTGAGGGTCTGCTGGTCACCACCACCACCTTGTTGCTGTTGTTTAGATTGGAGGAGATAGCTGCTAGCACTCATGGGTATGTTGGCGCTGATTTAGCACAGCTCTGCACAGAGGCCGCCCTCCAGTGTATACGAGAAAAGATGGATTTGATCGACCTCGACGATGTGATGGGGGGGGGCGCTTGGAAGGATCGTGACCTTGTTGTTTAGGACAACATCGATGCGGCTATCTTGGATTCGATGGCCGTGACACAGGAGCACTTCATGACGGCGATGCAGAGCTGTAACCCGTCGAGTCTTAGGGAAACTGTGGTGGAGGTGAGCTAGTGTGATAAGGCTCGGCTCTTGAGTGCATGTTGTAGGTGCCTAATGTTAAATGGTCTGACATTGGAGGGTTGGAGGATACCAAAAGGGATCTCCAGGAAATGATACTGTACCCGATCGACCATCCTGAAAAGTTTGAACAGTTTGGTAATACTCCTAACTGCTATTTTATGGTTTTTTTTCATTGGTTTTACGTGATGTGGCGTAATACTTGGTGAAAAACTCGGCGATATGCAGTAGTCTTGAAATATATTTTTCACTAGTGTTTTTCATAACACGGGTGTGACTCCATTGGTGTTATTGCCTCATATTATCATTGCTGGATATTTATTCATATTACGTGTAGTATTTTATCCGTTTATATGACAGCTATAGAAAAACAAATTAATATATTATGGTTATATATATACGCTTACGAGAGGTTGTGACAACAAATGACACGAATGAGGTGTGTGACACCACAGCGTCACCACTGGCTGCTAAATGACGTAAATATCTATAGAGTTGTCTTTGTAGGCATGCAGCCCAGCCGGGGTGTCCTTTTCTACGGGCCTCCGGGCTGTGGTAAGACTATGATGGCCAAAGCAGTTGCCTCGGAGTGTAGCGCCAACTTCATCTCGATCAAGGGACCTGAGCTGCTGACTATGTGGTTTGGTGAAAGTGAAGCTAATGTGCGTGAAGTCTTCGATAAGGCCCGATCGGCGGCCCCCTGTGTGTTGTTCTTTGATGAGCTCGATTCTATTGGAACCTCACGTGGGAGCAGCGCTGGTGAGACCTGCCCTTGTCTGAGATGGCCGTTGACCTTGTGCAACAGGTGACGCTGGTGGTGCTGGTGACCGTGTTATGAACCAACTGCTGACTGAGATTGACGGTGTCGGTGCCAAGAAGAACGTCTTCTTTATAGGAGCTACCAACAGACCTGAGCTTCTGGACGAGGCTTTGCTACGACCAGGCCGTTTGGATCAGCTCATCTACATCCCTCTCCCTGACCTGCCCGCTCGACAGGGGATCCTGGAGGCCACTTTGAGGAAGAGCCCAGTTGCGGCTAATGTACAGCATGGATAGGATGTGCCCGATTTACGGTAACATAATATAGATACCCCTGTCGTTCATAGCCCAGAAGACTGATGGTTTCTCTGGAGCTGATCTGGCTGAGCTCTGTCAACGTGCTGCTAAGGCGGCTATCAGGGATGCAATCGCTGCTGAGGAGCTCAAGGCTAGTGATGGCGATGTAGTGGTGACGGGGGACAGGGGGATATGCACATGTGTTAGTGTTAATATATAGCGAATTTTGGTAAGTTCTCACTGGTTTCAAGGTATTTGTACAATCGCCGAAAAAACTTCCGAGTTTGGCCGAAGAAAACGAACTTATATTCTAATACTGGCTATGGGGTTTATACTGAATTGTATTCGATCGACTTTCCTTGTGTCAGGACACCATGGCCGATGCTGACGACCAGGCTTCAACTGAGATCACGCGGAAGCATTTCGAGGAGGTGACAATTACGGTGTAGCTTTGAGAGATAGCGCCCCCTCCTCGGGTTTGATGATGGTGGGGGAGAGTATTCCTAATTTGGTGACACGCACATGGGAAACTGCTCGAAGAATGTACCATGTGAAAAATTGAAAATAAGTTCACCCCGGGGACATTATAGGCTTCTGACAATGAAATTGGGAGGTTGTTGATGATGGATTATTCTCAGGCGTTTGCTCATGCCCGTCGGTCGGTGAATCAGAGTGATCTCACCAAATACGATAACTTCCGTATGAAGTTTGATCCTCTGTATAAAACTCAAGTTGGAGCCACTGGAGATGCGGGAGTGGTGATTAACTGGCCTGATGTTGACAATCAGTTCAGCAGTAAGGAACGGGAACTACTTGGTGGGAGGTGCTGATGGTTACCTTGGTAGATGACGTTTCAGCTGATGCTGATGATGATGACCTATACAGTTAAATGATGTTGTCAAATCTCAATTATCAAAAGACAAGACGCTGTGGTTCGATCCAACAGCGAAATACTATGAAAACAGCAGTGATGAAAAGGTTTCTAATGTGATGATCGGCGATCTGTGTTGGTACAGTAGTTGAGTAACACCCACGTCGATACAACTTTGGAAGAATATAACATTACAGATGGAAATGGTCCGCTGGATGGAGAAAGGCTTGCGTCTTGGCTGACAAAATCGAGGAGATTATTGTAATCAGCAGTGCTTGAAGTCCTTCCATACCGCCGCAGAGGCAGCGAAAACCTGGTATAAATTTTAGGCTCATAATGATTTCATTATATATGATGGAATAGTCCTTGTGTGATGTAGACGGTGTACAAGATGTGCTGTTGTTAAATGGAATTGGAGGGGTTTGATTGAAGGGTATTCACGTATTGTTGGTTGGTCACAATTCTCACATCATGTTTGAGAATTCCCAGAAACTAGCAGCCAGTGGTGACGCTGCGGTGTCACACACCTCCTTCGTGTCATGTTATTACAACATCTCGTAAGCTTATGTGCATCGACGCTAGTCTAAGCCGTGTTGATGGCCTTGAATCGACACACATCTCATGTGCGTGAGGGGCAAGTTGGTAAGGTGTCTCCCACAGTCCTCCTCATCGACAACATCGTAATAAGTGCCTGAACTAATCCTAGTTTATAATGCCAACACGTGCACGTTAGAAGTCACTGGGTCGCATAGTCTCATTAAAGCCAACGCGTCTGAGTAGATGGACTACGTACCATGTATTACTCGTTATGGAGGGAAGCTTCGATCGAGTAGCATAGTCGCACATCACTTCCCAACACAACCTCGAAATGCAGTACGAGTCTTCCCATTTTGAGGAAGGGTTAGCAAATTCACAAGAAGTGTATGAAAAACTATTTCAGCACTTTGGACTCAGTGCTCATACACTCTTCCGCTGTATGTGGAGCGCTTGACTTCATCCGAGCCTCGGGGCTTGAATGATAGACTCGTACCGTTCACACAGTGTCGTTCGTCAGTCGGGTAACTGATGGTAACTTACCGCCACCCGAGGCATTCACATCGCTTACCCCATCCCTTCACCACGAAATACATGTCCGAGATGGGAGCCGCACTTCGCACAGACGATCTCGACTCGACCAGAGCCATCAGTCTCGCTTCGCTCAGCTACCGCCCCCTCAATGTTGGTCCAATACCCCGGCCATCCGCATCCACAGTCAAACTTGTGGGATGAATCGTAACTAGAGAAACATAGGAATATGTAAATCGAATGTGATTCAGCTTTTCCAGCTGAGCTCAGGGCATTATTGAGAGCCACACACGACAGAACCCGATGAAAATTTCACAAAGTTTTCTGAGAGTTATGTTTCGTCATCAACACGGGTAATTGAGGAGCATGAGCATACTCTCCCACATAATATCATAGGACCTACAGCGGTGTATCGCATGCCCCACACAAATAGGTTCCCTCAGCGTAGTTGTCATCCCATCCTCCTTTGTCAAGGGTTACTCCTCGGGGCTCGGTGGCAGCTTGCCGAAGTACCTGACTCGGCAGCCTGCTAGAGGCCACTTAGCAGTGAGTAACACACCTTGAATTGAGTGGGCGTGAGCTTCGTTTTGAAGTACTCATCCCCTTTATCGAGGCTGCCATCCACCACAAGGGTGGTCTTACTAGTAGGCAATCTGCCGCTACTGCGCTGCATGGGTCGTAAGGATGATAAAAACCGAGACAACATGTACTGAAGACACGACCATTACAGCAAAATGCATACTATAAGGCGGGACCAATCTAGATAAGGACAGCCTGGCTTGCCAGGACTACCCAGAGCGAGTCGACTTACTACTGCTTGTTTTCCAAACCGTTGCGTTTGCGTGCAAGCGGACGCGTGCAAACTTCATACTTCACTTATCTATGGTGATTTATACCATCCCCGGCACTTTACCGTTATCACATGAATTATTGGCAACTCTGCTGCTGTTGTGAACGAGTTACATCTGCATGCTCAGCTAATCGCCCAGCAAACTATGGCTTCGCGACTGGCCCCCTTAGCGCGAGAAATCTCAAGCGGTCGTCCAACTTACTCGGTAGCATCGAGAAAATAACCTCACCGAGTCAATAGGACGAAACTGATTTTGTATTCCATGAATTTTCGGTCGATCTACGAGAAACGAATTTTGATTTCCAAATTACACTTCCATTCCGTGGAGATTCCCTTCCACACTGTGGAACTCTAATTTTATTTCCCCTTAACTAGTCCGAGGTCGATGTAGAATTCAAAATAAGTGATCATAGCTCAATGCAGACAGACAGGACCGACACGAACTCCTCTAGAAACAAACGAGGGGCTGCATCATACAGGATGATGCGAAAAGGGTAGTTGTAACCAACGCAGTACATAGGACTGGAGATGACGAGAAATGATAGGTTTCGCACCACTTAACCTAGTTATGAGTAGGGGATCACAGCTTAGGGACAGAACGCAGTCAATAGCTCCAAAGAGAGATGAAACAATCGGGAGAATAGTAACACAATTTTTTACAAAGTTGAGTACCTCTCATACTCCCCATTTTCGACGAGTTTTGACTACATGAAAAAACTATATACAGGATAGTGCTGGCATATTCCATTTCTACCAGTTTCCGAGGTCGATGTATTTGAATGAGGAGTAGGAGAGCGATATGGTGGTTAGGACTGACCGAAAGACAGTCGAAAGGCTCACAGAAGTGAAGGAAGCTCACAAGGGCTTGTTTCTCTAGCCGTGGAGTTCAAGGTTAGTGTAAAGTAGTGGAGACACGATGACGCAATTCGCCAGCCTCTGCCGATCCATTGGTCATAGCGCAACAATGGGTAGGTGGAGCAAAATAGATCAGAAAAGAGTCTGTAGTTTAAGTATAGTTCATAGCGATCAGAATCTATATTCGGGTCTTCTCGTCGAACATCATAAACCATGCCTCCTCAAGAGGAGGCCCATCTAGACACCTCGAACTATAGATATCGCAATGGGGGTAATAGGGTAACAACAACAACGAGATTACAGGACATCGGGTATAACAGCAGCAGGGAAGGCTATGAATACATTTTCATAAGAACTACGGTGTCACATTCGCAGACGGCAATCAACACTGAATAGAAGATGAACGTTGCGCTCTCCTATGTGACCTCAAGGGAAGAATAGGCAGTCGGGAGTCCGCAGATTTGAGTAGCCTGGCAAGGGACGTGAATCGTCTGATACGAGCGTCCATTCCTTACGCGTTTTAGAATGTATGCTTCGATGTTTCCGAGTTCCTGAGCGAGCCGTAAGCCTTTCCAGAACTCCGAATGAACCACTTCCACCAGTTGTTGGTGGACGAGAACCCCAGTCGGTCTGATAAGAATGAATCATCACAGTCGATCGCAGGTGTATGGTTACTTCTCGGACCGTTTTCTATAATAGACTCCGGCATCTTCTTTGCCGCTCGTAGGATTAGGCTTGATGGCTATCTCATAAATCGCGTCCGATTGATCAGCCGACCAGTAGAACGCCTCGCATCACATCACTGGCTCCCTATCATACAGGATAAGTGTTGGAGACCCATGCGAGATGGACTACTTAAGACGATGCCAAGGGATGAACTGCAGCGGTAGTCAGTTTTGGAGGAAGTGGCGGTGGTTGGTCGCGGTGAGGGCTGGTCACCAAGTAAGGCCTACACAAATCGCATGTCGAATCGTCTACAAGTTCACCAAGGGGAGGAGTCTTAGTAAGAGGAACCGATAAACTCACATGCTGCCTTTTGTCCTCCTCGCAGTAGTACTGAGTCAACTGAGTGCTGGGGAAGCAGTAGCGCTAGAGTACGCAGCTGATACATGATAAGAGAAAGCACTATTAATCGTTAGAGATGATTGTTTGACCACATTATGTACTAGCCTACGACCCGAATGACAGATGTATGCTCATCATCTCTGCCATCTACCAGCATTCGATGGCTAAAGGTGATGCAATGGGTCCCATGTTTGTTCCGGCCTGTCTGAATTGAGCTTGTCACATGTGGAAAATGAACTATGGAGCGCTCCACCGTGCGCAATTCCACGCCCCGCATCAGACCACCAGCTGGAAATATACAGAGCTCGACTGCTGACTGAGCAGGCTGACTGATATTCACCGTCTCGAAGAATTATATGTCAATACGGTGTTCCATGAGACGAAGGGAATGCACTTTCTGGGGCTCGAACGAGTTTTGAAGGATGGCGAATCGCCATTGGCGACTACTCCATGATGGTTCTTGATAGTTAAGGTCGCGTGCGATGGCTTATTTCATATTCTTGTACCCTGCTCGAGAAACGGTGAAGCTCTACTCAGCCCAGCTTGATATCCCAGGAGCCGTCCTCGAAGAGCCCACAAATAATCACTTTGGGAGTATTGCCAACGTGCAACTACCCTACATCGTACCCTTTCATCGAAAGCAGTGAGGAGATCTTTGAAAAACTTTTACATTGCCAGAGTCAAACATTATGAACCAAAAACTAGGAGATGCGACTTGGGAACTATTGTATCCATACGATTTGCTTCGTTGCTGTTGATCCTAGTATGGCCAGTCTTCCATCTGCGCTGTCAACGCATCGATCGTCTTCGTCGTCATCACAGATCTCGTCGAGGAGGAGTCTTCGAAGTGCGCCTCGTAGTACAACAAGTACCGCTAGACACACGCATACTCGTCATCAGCCACACCCGTTTTCATCAGCCACGGGAAATAAGTGCCGGAAAGACTTCAGTAAGGCATGGTAGACTGTCGGATAACAGCAATGGTCTCACTCAACTTCAAGTCCTTCTCGTTACCCCCCGTAGAATCTCCGGAGAGTCTTAGCCCTTCATTGGGTGCAAACTCGTGACTAAGTTCAACCAGCAGGTACCTCCAATGCGGAATATGGTCTCTTGCCAGCGATTATAGCCGATGCTGAGGTCTTGGTTTAGAGTAATATCAAGTCATCACTCACTCTGATCTATCAGGCGGCGACAGTGCTCGAACCAGCGGCTGGCTTGACCAGGGGAGAGATAGGCTATCTACAGCATTCTCAGTAGAAGCAGTTGCTGCTCATGGCCTATCGCATCGCTCATTCAGTGAGTTCCCACGGTTCGTTCGGCAAGCCATACGCAAGCAGCTGGATGTCGATGCTGACCGGTTCACCAAGTCGTGGGTGGCGCGGCAGCCGTCCTATCATAGGAGTACGTCCCACCAAACCTATCGTGAGGCCTTTGAGCGCACTTCAACTTGTTAGGTAGTAGTGCAAGTAGTACTTGTGTGGTGTCGGAAAGAACAACACAGAGGCCTCTGAGTGCGAAGTTTGATCAGTGCGATGTTCTCATGTTCCATCGGTAGGTATCGCCTCCGGCAGAAACGCTCTGACTCCCGTATTGTCTGAACGATGGGCTAGGCCAATAGCAACGAACCTCCCGACACTTTGGCCTAGGCATTTCCAAGGAATGACAACAACTAATAGCGATACGTATTATGATGCGTGGAAGAGCTGTGGAGGTGTCAGGTCGTCAGGTATGGACAGCTGCCGGAGAGCGAGCTGAACTCCCTTCCCTGGCCTCATCGTGGGAGGGAGTTGTGGAGGTTTGAGAAGAGTATAGGAGGTGGCAGGCAAATGACTAGTGCTGACAATGTGTTGCATATGTCATATTTGTCTAAACCGTTCTGCATGTCATATGGCCGATCTATGAGCTCGGGCCAATTGAATGATATCTAACGGTGTCATCTGAACAACAGCCTTGCGTGTAGTACTCGCTCAGAAAGATACCTCAACCTGTACAGCTTCGTAAATTGAATTAGAGAGGGAATGGTATGATGGTATGAGAGCATGGAAACCAATCGATTGATCCATCATGGAACAAACTCCCAGTGGTGACAAAGTCCGTCAGATTGGTTAAGGTTTGCAGGTGGTAGGCAATCCCCCCAATGGGACACAACTGGTATCCTAACTTCACTGCATATTGTAGCGCGGGATACCCTACCTCACCGTGATATTTGTAACCAAACAGATGGTCTTGGTCGCAGAAGTGAAAGAGATCAGGGAACAGAATTCAAATCTGTGTAACTCACTAAGAGTATTATGATGAGCCAATGACTTGCTATTTCTATTCTTATGAACGTCGATCAAATAAAGATAGTAAGAAAGTATGCCTAAAACGGGCGAAGTTCGGAAGAATTGACAGAACATGCGATGACTAGCTAGCGTTCGGCCCTTCCCATGAAACCACAGCTTAAACGTAGCGGAGTCCATGTTGATATAGGATGGATCAACAAGCCAGTGAGATAATATGAAGTGGTTGTTTGAGCGGCTTGAATGGGGATATTCACATACTCCACACTTGCCGTGTTGGGTACAGTGTGCTAGACGATCAGTCACCAAGGGGGACTTAGCATTACTAGGCTGCCTAGTATATCATAGGGCCCTTCTCTCGAGGCTGATCACCATTATGAGCAACATGGAAAGTGTAAGCGCTCCATATAATGCATGGATAGCTGTATAATCTTTGCACTACGCTTGTCACGTCCTTGAGAAGAAACTGTGGCTTGCTAGCACCATGTTTTAGTCATCAGCAATCCATTGATGTTTCGTTCAACTAACATCACCAACTAAAGTTCAGCGTTGCTCCTTATCGAAACAAGATACTATCATCAATAAAAACGTCCTTTCGTCAGCCTTGGCCTCACGTGATGAAGATGTAGCATCTACACCGTTTCTGATACTCTTCAGTCAAGAGATACATAATACATCAGAAGTTCTGATTACGAACTGTTTGTGTCTTACTACGACACTACAGTTTCCAAGATCACTGGTGATTCGAGCGTGTGAGGTTGTATCTCGAGTGCGCACTGGAGAGACTTGCACACTCAAACAACATGCATTAGATATTTGACGTATCGGAGCATTTCGCTCTTACTATACACTGCTGTCTCTGAGGGAGGGGGAAGTCCCCCGGAGGATTTGGTTGTGTAGAGTGCACCACTATGGAATCTTTGATCTTTAGCTCGAAGCTAGTTGATGATTTTATGAGTATGATGGTAGATAGAATCTCTAGATTCCATTGGCCATTGCCTCGAGCTCCCTAATGGTTAACAACGATCGACTCATGGGCAACCCAACATCGCTCTCCCAGCTATGAATGGTATTCATATCGGAGTACCAGTGGCAAAATAGATAAAAGATCATGACCTTCGAACTGTGACAAATATTGGGAATAAATGACCGAGAGTAACGTTCTGACATGAGAACGGAATATTTCACTTGACCAGGAGGAAAAAATTGAGAGGCAAAAATAGTGGCAGATTCCGCGGGGCTTCGAAGAGCCCAGTCACTGCAGAGCCCATGGACTAAATCCGTGCACTCCGGCCAAGCATGCGGATCGCTGGCTGAAACTATGTAACGAACATACAACTACACTGCCCGGCAATGCAATCTCACCGGAGAGTTTTGATGACACATCGTGAGCCGTGAAGAGAATTTAGGTGAGTGGGTTTCTGCATCCGCATAGAACTCGTCAAAATTACGGAGCAGAATTGCAATGATAATAACAGCCTCTCTAACAGCAAGATGCTGCCCGGGACAGCGTCTTGGTCCGAAACCAAAGCCCAAAAATTCATCACGCTGTTTCTCGTCTATGGAGTGGCCGTCGGGGACCAACCAACGTTCGGGTCTGACAGAAAGCCGAAATCGTGGAATGGTTCTCAATAGGATATCATGGATTTGTTGCACGTTATACCACGCTCCATTATCGCGTTGATGTGACGTGATCAGGTCTCAAAACTACCTGAACTCATGGCCGTCTGAGTACGATTTTCTTAAAATCTCTCCGGTCGGGAAAATAAGCCTCGTTCCAGCCCTTATAGATTTCCCCGCCACATTGCAGTCAACTAAGGCTCTAGTTAGCGTCACTGGTGGGGAAGGCTTGTGCTGAAGCGAATCGAATGTACACCTCCATTCCATTAGCTTGCGTGTACCATGATTGTTTCCATCAAGCATGCCTCAATATAGGGCATAACAGGGACAGAGCTGGCTGACAGTTCCTTCAGTGAACTCACTTCGGCCCTCGCCTTCCTCTGAACTTCTGGATATTCACAGAAATAGTGTATCAGACGCTCGAGGACCGTAGCAACAGTTTCCCCTCCCGCAACAAGGAACCTGATCGTCAGAAATCAAGTTTCGCCTAGTAGATAACTCTTGCCGAGCAAACCCTAGAGACGTGCATCTACGATCCTTAGAGCCGTACTCAAGTCACTTGAGTCAAGTGGCATTGATATTGCTAAGACATTGGTCCGAACACCGCTACATTATAAGATCATGTCTGAGCTCAGTTTCATCCAACCGGCCGCCTGCACTCTGAGAGACACCCGCAGGCAAATCCAAATTCCTTTGTGGCGCCTCCTGGTCAGACGGATGCCGTACACGAGTGTAGCGTTAATACTCCTCCATTTGCGGTGGAACTGAAATAAATCATTCAGTCACTGAATCTCGGCCATAAATTATAGACAAGGCTAAGTCACGATGATTCATTTAGAAGAATCTATGAAAGTCATAATGATCCAAAATAACTTCGTATTGCCTCTCTAGGCCCTGGGAATGGCAGTCGGTATAACAGCCGGTCGTAATAGAAAATTCGCGTAGGCTTTAGGCTTATAGCGAATCTAGCCATGATGTATTCTCTAACTTCTGCTTGGAAATGTTGAGAGAATAGTGTATCTGCACAAAATGTCGATGTAAGTATTCGAAGTAACTCACTACATTTCGAGTTCAGGGGATTTGTCTCGCCCATATAGACAGCAGCGGCTGCTCTCATAAAGAGCGTCAGCAGATCATCTGCTGGCCTCCATGTTACCACTCCAGTGCTGTCGGCCTCCTGTTTCAGTTTACCAACCTGATAGGCGCAACAGACCATTTCGGGTGGTAATGGGTTGAATCTCACCAGGTCTTCACCAAGACTGATAATCATAGGTACGAATTTATTCAAGTTCCGCTCATTGAGCGGACGTGATACTATCCTCCGGTGCTTCTTCCACATAGCTCCCTCACTCAAGACCATATTCTTAGAGCCTGTGAAGTTCTCGACGTCCATTCCGCTGAACTCGCTTGGCCTTCTCCTCATAACGTCTCGGAATGTTGGTATGTCCGATACAACAAGTACTTGGTACGTAGGCGTTCTGATCGGGGTCATGAAAAATTGGGCTCCGAGTCAAGGCATCTTACCTCAAGCAACAGATGGGACCGAACTTCTCTGGTAGAGCAATAATCTCTCTAAACTGGTCTTCTACCGACATGAAAGCGAGTCGGACGATGAACCCCATCTGAATGTGAACCGAAATAGCTCTTGTCGCCCGTATTAGCTTGAACCAGTCGAAAGTGCTACTGGGTAGTAGCCGGTCACTCACTCCTGGTCCGGGAAAGACTGGTCGCTCGAATATCCTCAAAATGATTCTCAACAGTTTGACTCCAATTACTCCAGCCACAGCAGCAACGATGAGAGGACCTAATCTTGAGGCTGTCGAGTCGTAGACGGAAAAGAAATCCCAGTTTGGAGAGTATAACGTGCGCAGGGATCCTGGCATGCTTGATCCGACGATATAGCAAATAATACTCTGAGAGCCTGTTCAGTTCCAAGTTGGACCTTTCAACGTAGTCAACCGAGAACAGTTCGGCTTTGCGGTGAGCTTATTCACGTGAGGGCTTCACGTGGACGAGTATACCCGAAATCGTGATCAAGTCATCGATTGATATATATGGGGCACTCCGAGTAACTACGCCGAGCATAGTTGCAGGGGCCAGGCATGCCGGGCGTGAAATGTTCACTAATAGTGAATCACTATTTGGTCCTATGACATTAAATTAATGTCGTTAATGAAATATTTTCAGCTAAGGTGGAATTCTGAAGATATCTAACACAAGCAAGTTGTCTGTCGTGTCATGACACCTTCGTTTTTCTTTCTTGTTGCGTCTCCGGTCGTCCCTTCTGTCTATCCTGTTGTATCATGTTTCCATATACGTAGGATCGAGAGACTTTGCCACTGCTCCTCACTAACTGTAGATGCGTTATTGACGACTAATAGTCGTAATAAGGTGCCTATAGCGTGTCATGCCAAGTACACGCATCATGAGGTATGTTTGAAATACACTATTATTGATACATATAATATTTATTAAATAACATTTAATAAATACACATCGTTAGACTACCGTCGTTCGGTATCAATAGGCCTTCGTGACGAAGGGGTGGAGCTCACTTAGTCCTCGTCTATCGATTAGATCCATGAATTTGACCTAGGTGACCGGGCAGGACATCTTTCTGCCATTAAAGTTGTTCGTGTATATCTTTTCGAGCTGTTCGTATAATCGAGTTTTCCGATTTGCCCACACCTCGGCATTTAGAGGAGTCGTTTGATCTATCCGATAGCCTCCTACGCTCCATAGTCAAGCCAGAATAATTCAGCACGCACGCACGCAAGCGCGGCTGTCAGCCACGCTTTGTCGAGTAAAGCACTGACGTCGTAACACCAAGGAGAATCGAGGTGGGCGGATCGGGTGAGAGGAGACTAACTCAACTATGTGTTTCAGCATAGGATACCCCGCCTCAATGTAATACGTGCAAACAAATAGATAGTCTTGGTTGCAGAAAGAGATCCGGGAGCAGAATTTGAGCCCTTGGAATCCACTAAGGATACTATAGCCAATGACTCGAGGTAAACAGTTACGCAACTCACTATCGTTCTCCTAACGTTGTAAAGACGGTTATCTTCGATACCGAGCAAAGTTATGAAGATAAGCAAGTGAAGACAGTAGGAAAGCATGTCTGAAACGTGCGAAGTGTGGAAGAATTGACAAAAAAGGTTCAGTCTTGGAATGAATGATCGCGTTCCTCAGCCGAATCCAGAAGTTTCCTCACCAATTATAGAAGTTTACATACGAATTCGGGTGGGAGCGTACAGAAGCCAATGGGAATTCCTTGAAATTTCCACAAATGTCACCTACATATGTAGTTGACTACGTGCATATTCTCCCACACCGAAAATGGTAACCACAATAGCATAAAATGACGGAGCTCACCATGGAAGCAAACAGAAATTTTCTCTTCTGATCGAGCCCAAGGACAGCCCAGACGGTAGTTTCGAACAGTTGATAGTCCTAAGGGCCAGCTTGATAAGAGCATGTGGCCCACATAAGAAGAAGTTAATGCGGCTCGCTCCAGCTTTAATTGCTCGAGCGGAGGCCGTTGCCACAAAATCCTCGAGCTCGTCAGTTCCCGGCGTCGAATGATGATCAAGTAAAGTCAGTTCGGGAGTTAGATAGCAACTAGTAGGGCTTAGATCGCCGGAGGTGCTGTCCGCCCACTTGCCGTCTTCAGCGTCCGCCAGTAAAGGGTGCGAAATCTTTTCCTCGTTCCCAGAATAGAGGAGCCGTCTATGGCCTACTTCTCCAATGGAAGGTAAGATGACCCCGAGGAAATCGATGTTATAAAAGTGCCATAGAAGAGAGATTCCCGAGCGCTGGATGGGTAGACGTAGCCCCTGAATGATAGAGGCAACGGGGACGACACCAGCACCACCACAGACGAATGCAGCATACTCTCCGCTTGAGCAGATCTGTCGAGGTAATTCACTAGCACCGTAGGGTCCGTGGACTAGCACGGGCTCTCCTTTCAACCTCTCTGGGGAGGTGTTGAGCAGCTTTTGAGCGATGAATCCTTTCCCGGAGATTAGGAATCGTTGCTCATTATCGGTGCCGGGCAATGGAGGCAGAACTGAATAGGGGTGTCCAATTATATCCATCCCTGGGAAGGAGAGCGAGACCCACTGACCAGGTAGAGGTTTCAAAGGGCATCGGATAGTCAACTGGCAAGCCTTGGGCATATCCTCATCACCATCTGTAAGGGGGTGAATAGACTCAATTCTGGAACAGCACGGTAGAGGTTTCAGGCCATATTTGCCTCTGTTCACCGATTTAAAGGTATCGTACAACTGTCTGAGCGACGAATATAGTTCCATCAAGCGCTCGACGAAGCTGAGGCATATGCAGGTAATGAAGAAAATCGAATGCGCTTTAGCGGAAGGCGAGTAATGCTCAGAGAAGCGACCCTCCCGAAGGTACGCGTGATATGCCAGAAGAGCTACCGCAACATATACCATCCAGTGGGTCAAACGGAAGAGCCGATAACCGTGTGGTAGCCAACGATAGACACTAGCAAAGATGAACGAAAGGAGTAAAACACCGCAACCGGTGACTGCTTGGATGCCACTTTGGGCGAACATCCTTGATAGCGAACTCTCGTGAAAAAATGCAAGTATACCATGGACAATGCCCGTTAACAAACCGAAAATACCAAGAACACCGTGGAGCACTATCATCCTCTCGAAGCCAACTTTCAACAGACCTGTTATCGACCTCAATGAGAATATGAGTGAGATGCTCATAGCCCACAATGAAAGGCGGCCGAGGATAACACAGAACGAGTCAAGGGCGTCTTCATAAGGACTTGTTACGAGCTGAACGATCGTCGGGAGCAGCAACACCAAGATGATAACTATGAAGGTCAAGGCGATTGCACAACTAGGGAAAGCATATCCGTAGGGCCGATAAAAGAAGCTGGGCATGGACTTGGGCAACAAGGTAGCAAAAGCCACGCAGACGAGGGCGATCACAGAGATGATCAAATAGGTCAATTGTGACCAAACGGGGAGTGTCGCAGCCATAGATTATGTGTTTGGGCGATTAACACTACGAGTTCAATTAGCATTTTCAGTCAACAAATGACTCGCTCCACCACCACGAAGCCTTTGAACGCCAGAGAGTAAATAAAATCAGCGTCCCGAGTCCCGGATAATAGACGCTAGCACTATCGTGAGTGTGTTACTCAGGTCCGTATCGAAATGCTTGATTGACCCATACAAGTTGTCGAAGCAGGCCCGACAATTGTATATGTCAATCGACGAAACTATCGGTAACTATGTTCATGACGATCCCCTCCTCCGTGATGATACTATGTCTGATACTGTTTCTATAAATGATGACATAATCTCTGATGCACCTCGGCGAGTCGAACATCCCCCTTTGTGTGTGGAATCATGAATAGAACCCACACTGTGAGCGGCCCTTGAACACCATTGGCCCCTTGCCTAGGCCGGGAATAGAGAACGGAAAGCTCACGAGTGTTAATGAGTCATTATTGCAGTTTTGCAGCATGAATGACCAGGAATGATTATGTTGTATGGTGAAGAAAACTGAAAGGTGAGCAAAAGCAGTTCGATCGGCCTGGTCGACTCGAACGAACGCAAAAGAGTTGTCGGAGAGCCAGAAGCAATAAGGGAATGAATTGGATCATACAAAACAACCCTGACGTAGCTCCTGAATTAGTTGCTATCATCCTCAATCACCAGGCTACTATGACTGAGGCCATAGATCGAACAGAAAGGCCGGAAGTGGAGGTAAAAAACCACAGAGTTTTCACTATGGATAGCACTAAGGAAAGAATATTCAGAGCCGTCACTCACGACTCAATAGAAAGCGCGAAACTTACCGTGGTAACATTTCGAATGTCCACTAGGGTCATTAATTTAGGGATATTTCCCAAATGCTGATGCAGTGTTTATTCAACAAGAAATTGATTCCCGTAAATTTCTCTCCCTCTCCATCATCCGCCTCCCCTGAATGCCCACAGAAATTATGCACAGCCCAGACTGCTATAACCGACTAACGACCTTTCATGACACCGACGAGGATGATAAGATCTATCCAATGCCCACAACATTGTTGTGACAACGACCGAACGATACGACAAGCAATGTTATCAATTTATGCCTAACACAAGTCCAGGTCATCAGCAAAATTATACAATACTCTCAGAACAGTTTCGAATATTTCTTTATCTCAGCCAGTATAGTCGCATTAGGCACCATCGTTCTAACCCAGTCAGGCTGCTCCTGTGAGCCGTATGATTTCGCGATTATTTTCTGGAACTTTGTGTAGTGTAGCAACAACTGTGTCATAGCCTGCTTCAACACATCCATACCGTTATTGAAATTAGTAAAACTTTCCATCACAGTTTTCTGCATCAACTGAGCGTTACTTTTCCAGTTCGCAGTAAAGTGTCTCGCCAAGCGCTCCATTTCCTTCAAGTCGCCACTCGACTCATTCTTGCCTTCTTCGACCGCCGTCACAAACTTCACCAGTCCACCAAAATGCATGCTCAGCTCGCTGTCCACGAATGCAGCAACGTCCTTCCTCAGCAGGTCCTCTATAGGCTTATACACCTCAACCGGCACTGCTCCTGATGAGCTACTACCAACATCCCCTCCCCCATGCAAAATCGTCAATATCAAGTCGGCGTTGTTGATGATGAATACATGGCCTTTCTGAGGAGGAAGTTGTCTCGATAAAGCTACTAACGCCGAGCGAAAGGCTGTATGGAGTTGCCATAGTATATCTGTCATAGCCTCCTGTATTTGAGGCCAGTCTTTTAAACACGTGTATCTACATGAGAGCACGTCAAACGATACAAGAGCCTTCCAGCGTACAAGCTAACTGTCATCTCAGCGTATCGTCTTGAAATTACATGCGGCTTAGCAGAAGCCAACGGAGGTTCTGTATGCTCCGCTGTTGAAGATGCAATTGCCCGAAGGCTCAGAATATTCGTACGAAGGACCTACCAAATGAACTTTACAACATCTAGACTTCAGCATAGCCCTACTTCAGTCAACCTAGCCCAGAGCAAAGCATGCATATTAGAAAGGTAGCTGTCCATACAGGTAAGGCGTCTACGGTTCATCTGGCCTTGGCAATGATCAACTACTCGGAGCATTAAAAGCATTCCTATAGAGTCCCAAGAGCTATTCACAAACTTCTGCATAGAATCCATAAACCACGACAGAGTTCTGCCAAGTACCGCTTCATATATCCTACCAGCTTCAACCTGATAGATACTTTAGACTACTATCTCAGCGTCAGCAGGGTGATTACTGGTGAATCATGACAGTTGAAGAAGTCGCATATGAATAGATACTCAGATGTACATGTATCGCATAGTAAACGTTGGTGAGAACGGAATATCTCTTCAGCGTAGTACCTGAGCATGACAATAGTGCTGAACTCTCCATTCGAAACTTATCAAATATAAAATTTCAATAGCCTTCACCTAGTGAAGTCCACTAAAGCCATATTGACAATCGTTTTCAATAGCCTTCACCTAGTGAAGTCCACTAAAGCCATATTGACAATCGTTTTCAATAGCCTTCACCTAGTGAAGTCCACTAAAGCCATATTGACAATCGTTTTCAATAGCCTTCACCTAGTGAAGTCCACTAAAGCCATATTGACAATCGTTTTCAATAGCCTTCACCTAGTGAAGTCCACTAAAGCCATATTGACAATCGTTTTCAATAGCCTTCACCTAGTGAAGTCCACTAAAGCCATATTGACAATCGTTTTCAATAGCCTTCACCTAGTGAAGTCCACTAAAGCCATATTGACAATCGTTTTCAATAGCCTTCACCTAGTGAAGTCCACTAAAGCCATATTGACAATCGTTTTCAATAGCCTTCACCTAGTGAAGTTCACTAAAGCCATATTGACAATCGTTTTCAATAGCCTTCACTAACGGTTCATTAATATCAAAATTTCACTAGACTTCATTTATCATTATTATTCTCCTCTATTACAACCTACTCGACACGTACATTGGAGGCGGGACATTCTCCCGTTGAGCTTGTGCTATGGCCGCATGTGCCACTATAGGGTCCTCATCCAGCTCGGATATCACCTGAGGGAACTCTTAACAGAAGTCGCGACTGGTCAAAACTGTGGCGAATGATAGGATCTACATTCTGAACCAAGCCGTACTGGAAATAAATGTTCCTATTTAATTCCAATATTCTCGAAATTGAATAGAAACCATGTATTTTCCACTAGAGTAAAGCATATGAAACTCGTATGCGAGTGATAACAATGTGAGTCCACTGAGAACTATTCACAAGCAGCTCACATTATTAACCCAAAATTCATTTCGAAAACATTAACCTGCACAACCACTCCTTTTGTATTGTATAGGAGTTGAAACCCCCCAAGAAAAGCAGTACAAAGACCTCCCATCAAAAGTCCACTGACGGACCTATTCCGTATCTTTACATGAGTAAAAGATACCATCCAAGCATTACCTTGCCTCTGCCAGCCAACGAAAATACATTGCCAGTAGCCGTACCAGTTTGCTTCCGAGCTCCAAAAAAGCCTCCAATAGCATCGCTTATTCCCGACTGAAGCCGTCGCTCTAACGTAACGTCATTTCCACCTTGCTCAGATCCTCCCGTACTGAAAAGCAAAAGCTGTAGTAGACCAACTGAGACCACATATTTCCCCACATTAAGTTTTTTCCTGTCGGAGCCGCTAACTGCCATCTAGCCAAAGATTGAAGATACATGCGGAACTGATTGAGATAGACTCGAGACATAGTCGTCACATAGTAGTCTCGAACCTGAGAGAAGCCCTTAGCAGCTCTGAATTGGCGGAGGAGTGGTACTTGAGTGAAACCTTCAATACAGTGTTGCTCGAGGAAAGCAACCTGACCTTTCAGATGGACCAACACATTTCGTTGTAGAATTTGAATATTAGTTTTTGGTTTTCTCAAGGAACCTGATAATGATGTAAAGCATCTACCTGGCAAACAACAAGAACAACAACACGAACAACAAAAACAACAACACGAACAACAAAAACAACAACACGAACAACAAAAACAACAACACGAACAACAACAACAACAACAACAACAACAACAACGACAACAACAACAACAACAACAACAACAACGACAACAACAACAACAACAACAACAACAACAACAACAACAACAACAACAACAACAACAACAACAACGACAACAACAACAACAACAACAACAACAACAACGACAACAACAACAACAACAACAACAACAACAACAACAACAACAACAACAACAACAACAACAACAACGACAACAACAACAGCAGCAACAGCAACAGCAACAACAACAACAACAACAACACGAACAATTACTACCTATTTTCGTTATAAGGAAATCCCTACACTTCTGACTCGCACACAACCTGAGTTTCTCCAACTCAGGCGAGACTTGGGCAGCAGCCACACCTGATAATGTCAGGCTGACATACAGGATGACCAAATAAAATGAGCATATTCAGAACTCAAATATACCATTGACAAGCGCTCGTCAAGATCTTTCCAATTCGCTATCTGTCTCTCTCACTGAGAAACTCGTTGAATTCTGCAAGTTACCGACAATACCACTTTTTATTTGGGGCGCCCTTTATATAACAACTCCTTCGAAATTCGATAGATTATTTCACTCATGATCATAGAAAAATAAAGGGAAGGTGTTCACATCGATAACTACACTACAATGATAGTGATACTAGAACACTAATGATTATTATATGTGAATATACTCAAGTTTGATGAGGCCAAAAGGCACCCGATTAGGCCTCTTGATAGACTCCTACACTGACACTTATCTGGTGTAGCAAAGGAATGCTGTGGGGCATTAAAAAACGAGCAATGAGCGCGCACACGACTTGAAATCATTGTGGTATATTCTTAAACCATATTATGCGTAATAAGCCATTTTAAAAATATGAATTTCCCATGTAATAAATCCACATATACATACGCATGAACTTATAAAAAGCACACCTTACTACTTTGACTTTTCAATCGTCCTCCGTCAGCTCTAAAGGCCGCAATCTTCGACGACAACTCCTCAAGTGCTGCTGAGTACTCCTCTTGATCAGCCGGAACCTCACATATTCCCTTCACTAGAGTAGGTGATACCACAACCTGAACAAATATCCCGACTCAATCACCATCATCTCACTCGTACCTTATTGACGTATTCCTGCAGCTCCTTCTGAACCGACAATCTATGGTTCAGTTTATCGTTCATCACAGACGAGCTATGTTGCAAGGAGCGAATCTCATCCGATACTCCTCTGAAATCAGCATATTCCCACGCAGTCAACTTCTAATGCCCATCTTGGAACACTTAGCTGCGCTCAAGATGAGATCATACGAGTATAAAATCAGAGGATTTCGAGACGTCTTCCTCACGTGTTAAGTCCAATGCCTACTAATTCTACGGACAAAAATTACGCACATCGTGGGACACTTCGCTCCGCTGTTCTCACTACGAGACTATCCCAGCGCGGAATGTATGGATTCACGTGTTTATGCCAATATTCACTGACTCTACCGACTAGCATAGCATGGGGTAAATGGTGCACATCGTGCAACGCTTCGCTCCGCTGTTCTCAAGACGATATGGATTCACATGGTTGACTAAATGTCTACTAACTCTACCGACTAACATAACATCCTCCACTAGACGTACCTCAAGTGGCACTGAAACGCATCCAATTCCTTTTCAATGCGACTCAAGGCCAGGTCCGCTTCCTGCGCTCGTTTATTGAGATCGACTAACTGCAATAGGACTCAAATGGCAACACTAAAGTTACCTTACGTTTTTTGACTTAGCCGAGAATTCTGCTAAAACAGCATGTCGTAGTAGCTTCGCTTCCTCATCAAGACTTGCCTTCAAATCGTCCAGAGGCTCCCCAGCCTGAAAGAGATGAATATATATTCCTTTTCCTCAGCTGAGCTTGGGAATTTCCTCCGCTACACACAGAAATGTACAGAAACCAACCAGGATTCCCACCATAATATCGCGGTATGCATATCTCAAATTTTACTAACCTTGAGTGCTTTCAAGAGAGAATCCTCATCCGCCGAATCCCCCGTCTCGGCAAGCTTTTCGAATTTACTTGCTAAAGAGGAAAAGTCCGGTATTGGTGGAGGCACCGTCGCTGAGGACGGCGACGAAGACAAAGCCATGACAAAAACTGAGCAAACATACACATCTGTGGTTTCCTCAGCTGAGCTCAGGCGTTCTCACTTCACTATTAAAATTAACAGAAAAAAAGCAAATTTACATAGTAATCTTTTTAAAGTTGTCACCAGCATATGTAGCCGTCCATGTGCATATATTACCACATAATAGAATCACCTATCCAGACCTTCTTCACATCCGACTAAAGAGAGATATTTCGAGCATTCACCGCTCACCCCTACAGAAAGTCTATCCTCTCCTCAAGACAAATCAGCAAACAAGCCTATCTAGCTTTTTAACAACACATGAATCTTCATACTGTCATAAACATAAAGCCTCTATATACTATCGATAACTGTTAAACTCAATAGGTATACTTTCTCCCGGAACAACTAGGCGCCCTAATCTGCAACACTTCCATCTACCGTAATAGATCCCTTTTCTACAGAGATTCATCGCTTGCTGTAATGCAGAAACTGGGCATAAAGTTCTCCCTCACCTAAGCTACCTCTTCGTCAAACCCTAGATAGCCGTAAACCCTATATCTAGATGAGCTACTTCAAATTTGTGCCTCGGGAAAAACTTACGTATAACAACTCGTTCTCCTCCATTTTTATATCAACCTCTATTTCCCTACACCAGCGTTGGTATATACTTTTCTTATTTACATACGACTTATTAAATTATATAAAAACCACCACCTCTTAATTTAACACATGTAGCTGACCATGTGCATACTCTTCTGCTTCATAACCCAACAACACCATACCAATGCGACACTCCCCTGCACCTCCATCATGTGATACCACACTTCTATAAAATCATCACACCAATGCTATGTATCAAATAGCAGATTCAAATACCATACCACTCCTATTGCAATCAACAACCCTCCCAAACTGCTCCGATGCGTTCAGCATTCCATCAAGAGTAGCTGCTGTCGACGGACCCGGTCCTTGCTCAGCTCCATCAGAGTTCCTCTCCGTCCCGCTGCGTGATCTGCTATGTCCACTATGATCACGTAAATGCGACTGTTTATGCAATTTTTCTCTGAATATCCTTCATCTCATAATCGATTATCAGGGCATGCGCATTTTCTCTCTATTGATTTCTTCTAATTATCTCATCCTTCAATGCCACCCAGTAGTAATCCAGCCCAAAGTGTTGCATCACATCACTCTACTGAGCCGAGGAAAGTGCCGGAAATTTTATCCCATATTATCAAACGGCTCCAAAACACTTCCTACCGTTTCTATTACATAACCTCGCTATTATGCATGACTATATCATATCACATTGCTATAATGTTTATGTTACCGTAATTTCACTCTCTCAATACGCCAATACCAACCCTTACAAACCGCACCCAGCAGCACTGCTCCGCCTTCTCCTCCCCCTTCTGCGTGGGGGTACCGAGGCTGCTCGTAGGGTATATATCTCAGCTATAACATCCTTAAGCCCTCTAACGAGCTCATCCACTCGTTTTTCTTTGTCCCCAAGCTCAGCTCTAATCTTCATACGCTCATTCTGAATTATCATTACAACAAAACCCATTACGCCTCGTACTCTCGATAAGGGAGCAGATCTATTCCTCCTACCGCGTCCTCTACCACGGTGTTTGATGTGTCCAGGGGTGTCCGATTTTATCTGTCAACAGCCGTGATGAATATCTCAACCAGAAAGGATACTTCCGAATCTGCATCGCTCCGCTCGTTTCGCTCTTTATTTTCCGCTATTTCCGCCCCACCATAAACCGCTTTGCCAGCCTGAGACGGTATCCAAAGGTTCAGCACACAAGATACAGATTAGGCCCGTCATACACCACCTCATTCAGCGACTCCTCTATGAATCGTAGAACAACCTAAAACACTTGTCCGACCCGAAGAGGCTCATGATTCCACTACTAATTCACAATCAGGATCCTCTAGCGGTCGACCACTGATGCACTCAAATCGCGTTGATTGAGCAGCAGCCTGCCGACAGTATACAAGAAGGTCATCTTCGTCAACCCAAGACGGCAAGTGGAATGCATCATCCTCATACATATCCTGGAGTAGCCTAACCCACGCAGGTTCGATCCCCGCTCCTGTCAATTCTACCGTAATTTACTTATTAACCGCCAGAACAACCCCACTCTTCTTCTGCTGCTGGTCTCCACCAACACCTTCCACCTCAGCTTCTCGTCCCCTCATAAACAGCGGCAAACTCGGCTGCCCGAAATCTCAAATCGAGCACAGACTATCATCAACCCCACCGCTCCCGAATTGCCAGGCTCCGAGCCCATCACGATCTCCTCTAGCCGGTGGACCTAGCCACCACACGAATATCACATGATAAACTAAGAGAGCATTAAATTCACGGGCAGCTTATGGGAAAGAGAAAGTGTCCAAATTTCATGTGCTCGATAGTATATATAATTCAATTCATCTCACTATAGGGGGTCAGGAAATGTGAGATTATTCTCGTCGGCTTCCCGAGGGGAACATGATTTTTCGCGGGAAAATACGTACATGGTCATTTCTGGTGATAACATGGGAATTCTGAGGAATTTTCGTGAAAGTTTTATTGATTTCTGTACACTTCTACCTGAATTCGTGTGTAAATTTCGTGAGGAAACTCCTCATCTCAGCTGAGGAAATCTAACGCAAATTCCAACACTAATTCATCCGTTTGCCGAATCGGATATTCTCCCAGCCCGAACATTCGTTGTCATTTCAACATGAACACCAATGAACAAAGTTTTCGGGTATTTCCTTTCCACTACCAATCCTTCTATTATTACGAATTAAATAAGCATTATAGTAATCAGTGCTGAAAAATATGTACTCGTTTTCTTCAGCTGATGAGCTCAATAGTTTCCTCACTAATCATAGGAGTTCATATACGAATCGATGAAAAAATACGAAAAGTGGACAGAAACTAACAGAAACTCTCCAAAATTTTCCCAGAGTTTAGATATTGTCACCAACACTTGTGGTTTATCATGTGCAAATTTTACCACACTAATAGTGATACTACCAATCATCATTACGGTATCATCAATACCGAACACATCTTGCTGCTAGCAGCAGACCCCATGCACCCAACAATACAACAAAACTTACGAATTTCCTTTGTATTTGCTGTATTGGTATATCGTTCGGATCGTCACCAAACGGCTCCTCCAATTCAACACATATTCTGTTGAGCCCAGTGAATCCCACCACACATAGTGTTGCAAACAGCATAGCAGGTGCCCTGAACATAGTTTATGCTACCGACACATTATCAATTAAAATACCATCTATCCAGCGAATAGCTGATCTCCATAGGCATCAAAAACACTATCCCCAATATCAACAACGACATCATCTGAGCGAACGCGAACGGGAATGGTACCATCGCGATTTTCCACGACTGAAATAGAAAAAACAAACTCAGAATTTTCGGAAAATTCCCTTCCCAAAACGACCTGATTGAAACCCAGCATGCCCGTAGATATTTCTTGGAAAACTCTGCTGAGTACAGGAGGCGGTATATTAATCAATGGGGGATTCCCTGTAGTCGCCATTGCGATTCCCTCAGTTATCCATTGACACACGAGTAATATATCATCACCACTCTGAAGTGTCGCTCTCTCATGGGCAGACAGATTCCCTATAACCTGGCAAGCAGCACTAAGGCACGACAACTGTATAGTTTCACCCATTTTACGTGAAGTGACGTGATACTCCATGTAAAAAAACGAGATATAAAATGAATTGAAAATACTTGCCGAATTACACCGGACAAATCACCCCACATGTCTTACGCGTCGCTCACTACTTACTACTTTCCAAAAATTTCCTCAGAATTACCATATTCTCCCCAACACATGTAGTTGACCACGCACATATTTTCCCCCCACACTTCACGAGAATCCATCTAGTCGTCCACCTTTTCTTTTATAAGAAATGTTTTCAGCTCACGTCCGTACATATATTTCTACACTGTTGGAATATATATCTGGTTTCCATCAGCTCGGAAGTTTCCTCACTATACAATCAAAGACACACCAAATAAGGTAGAAGTTTACAAAACAGTGAAGGGAATATGCACATGGTCAACTACATGTGTGTTGGTGGTGACAATATGAGAAATTCGAGATTTTGGAAAATTATGTTTCGTTTTGCATACTTCTACTCTAAATCGTGTGTAAATTTTCATAACATAACAAGGAAACTTGCGAGCTCAGCTGAGGAAACCAATCATACACAACATATGTTTGTTGGTGTATAGATTCTGGTACAATGGAGTTTCATCCGTTTTACGTGAAGTGGCGTAATATTCTATGAAAACCCCGATGTTGGCGCTATAGAGTAGTCGTGAAATAAATCTTTCACTACTGTTTTTCATATCACTACGGTGAAACTCCAATATTCAATACATTTCAACGAACGAAAATTTTCTTCCAATTTTACTTATTGTCATCAACAACATGCACATTCTCCGATACTATAAAACTGCTATCCGGATCAACTACTGCTTTCCCCAAGTCTTACACTCTCACATAATATGCAAAAATTTAACAAACTCAAAAATACCTACTTCAAAATAACATTCCTCATCCTCCCCCTCCACGACACTGTTGTTTCTGAGGAAATTACATACATATCAGCGACGCCAGGAATAAGTACCCTTCTGGTGAGCTCGCCATAGCTTGTCTCCTCTTCGGTTCTCTATACCTGTCAACAGCATGCATACAATGGAGTTTCACAACCCGTTTTACGTGAAGTGGCGTAAAACTCGGTGAAAAAACGCGCAATTCGCGGTGATATGCAGTAGTCGTGAAATATGTTTTTCACCAGTGTTTCTCATATCACTAGGGTGGTGAAACTCCAATGATTTTTCACCCTAGTGATATTAAAAACACTAGTGAAAAACATATTTCACAACTTACTTCGCGGAAAACAATTGTGTTATCGGCGGTCGCGGAAACATATACGTCCAATACCCTACATAAAGTATTACACCATTTCCCGTCAAACGGGTGGAACTCCAACGATAGAGTATATGTGCTCGTCATATCAACTCTGGTCCTTGCAGATCTAATATGGCGCATGAAAAATCCGGAAAAAACGGCAGAAAACAACATACCCTATTTCGCCACACATATACCAATACTACCGCTTGGACACACGGGAGATGCTAGTATCACTACTATATATTTTTCAACAAAAACTTTTCGTAAATATCACATATTTTCTTTCAACCAATTTCGCAGAAAATTAATTTTTTCAAACCGAAATCAATTTCGCGATACACCGTTTTTCTCACAACAGATAGCCACCAATCCTTCCACGATGAA